GCCAGATATGTTAATTTGCTCAAGCAGTGAACTATATCTGGATAACAGCTGCAGCTGCAGTCACTGCTTGGTCAAGTTTACCATAATGGTTCTTGTTTCTCAAGATCATAGTTACTAGAGAATCAGCTATCAACTGTAGTCTTGTTTCCATTGTGTATAGCAAGGGCCTAGAACAGTGTCTGACACAGATGCAGTGCTCAGGGAACATTTGTAACTGGTGAATGATTAAGAGTACAATCAGTGATTAAGACTGAGTCTGTAACATTGAAAAAGCACTTTCTGTGTATAGACCCTCCCTTTCAAAATTGAGACAGGGTCTCTGAACCCTAGCTGGCCTGGAACTCACTATATGCTAGGTTGGCCTTGAATTTGGCAATCCTACCTTTGTCTTTTGCCTGTTGGGATTATAGACATACACCCCCACACCTGGCATCCTTTTCTTATTTTTAAAATAGGAGAAGAGTGGATCAGTGTTTGAGGTTTTATTAAAGCAGCGTTTTTAAATGTTTTTCCCCCCTCAAGGCTTTTGTAAGAATCTCAGTGATAGCCAGCCATGGTGGCACACGCCTTTGATCCCAGCATTTTGGAGGCAGAGGCAAGTGGATCTCTGTGAGTTCAAAGCCAGCTTGGTCTACAAGGAGAGTTCCAGGACAGATAGGGCTGTTACTCAGAGAAACCCTGTCTTGAAAAAAACAGAAAAGTAGAGAGAGAGAGAGAGAATATCAGAAAAAACAGAAAAACAGAGAGAGAGTGAGTGGTAAACAGAATTGAAAAGCCATCAGACTGGATAGAGGATCTATAATGTGTTCAGGTTTATGATGATAAGTGGTTTCAATAATTTTAAGTAGGTCTGTTGAGGGAATTCTTCATGCAGAGGACATATTTGAACTGATCATTGAGCAGATGTTCAGTAGATGGACTGGATGATCGGAATGAGGTGGTCAGTTCTCAGAAAACTATGCTAAGGAGGTTGAATAGAAGAGGGGAAGAACAATTCCAAAATCCCATAGGGTTTCAGTGAATCTGGATCTATATGCATGTGTGCGTGGGGCGTATATGCTTATGTGTGTGGTTGGTATGTATGTATGTATGGGAGAAAAAGAGAAGGAAACGTGCGGGAAGAGGGACGGGGTGAGGAGTTGGAACTGGGAAGAGATGTCAAAAGCCTTGAATGCTGTGATAAACAGTGTAGCCTTTTCTTTTTTGAGATGGGGTAATTGGGTCACTGTGTCTAAATACTTGCAATAAACAATTGAAGGAAGGAAAGGTTTATTTTGGCCTATGATTTCAGAAGATTCAGTACATGGTGGCTTGGCTCCATGTGCTTGGGCAGAAGATGACAGCAGGGGTGTGGGATGGAGGCTGTTCTTGGCTTCCTGAAAAATAGGAAGAAGCCAAGCTGAAATATAGCCTCAAGGACAGGTAAGTGACTTGCTTCCTCCAACGAGGCCCCACTCCCTCCTGCTTTTTACCACTTTCCAATAATGCCGCCATAGTGTGAATACATGAAGGGATAGCTCCATTGATCATATCAGAGCCCCCAGGATCTGCTTCTGGAAAGCCACTAACCCTTGAGGTATTTCTTACTCTAATCATGTTGACAGTCAACATTAGTCATTACCTGAAGTATTCCACTAGCTAGTCTCTAACTTGAAATTCCCCCGCCTCAGTCTCCAGTGTTGGGATTACAGATGAGCACTGGTTAGCCTGGCCTTTTGTTTGGTTTCTTGGAATCAGAGTGGTCCCTTCACTATCCTCACAGCTCCTTCTCTTTCCCCATCATGAACCAAGATCATTTTCATTGGTAGAGGTGTTCCTCAGCAAGATTGTAGTTGGTGGTAGAGAAAGGACAGCTACAGGAGAGTGTGTATATGTATGTGCCTGTACAAAGTTTTTACCATGATACTGGGGAATGAACCAGGACATCACTGAGGCATGTCAGAAAAGCAATGTATTACTAAGCTGTAGCCATAATCCTTTTGGATCAAAATGACCTCAGTGTTCAGAAAGAGGTAGGCAGATCTGATATTCTACGTAGTAAGTTCGCAGCCCTGGTCAGTCCTTGTCTCTAAAAAAACTGAGGGGCTGGGAAGTAGGCTCAGTAGTTAAGAGAGTACTTGGTGCTATTTCAGAAGACCCAGGTTTGGCTTTTTGCCAGATCACCGCCACTACACACATAATCCTATCAAGCTGGCTAGGGTAATCAAAGTGCTAGGCAGGACCGGTTCGCAGGGACAGTGCATGCAGGAGCATGTGGAATTTCTATCATCTGAAATGTCAAAGGCCCTATTTGGAGAGGGTGATGTGCTCACTGTATAGGAGTCAGAAAGAGAGGCTCTGTGTTTGCGCTGACCTTGCTGCTGGGTCCTGGATATCCACCATTTAACCCACGGGATTATTTAAAAAAAAAAAAAAAAGACCCAGTTTTGGTTCACAGCACCCACATGCTAGCTCACAATCATCTGATGTCCTCTCAGACCATCTTGGGCACCAGGCACACATGTGGTGCATAGACAAACATGTAGGAAAACTGCTCATATGCATAAAATGTTAAAATAAATCTTGATGAAAAAGAGCTGAGGCAGGATGAATGCTAAGGGTTTGAGATCAGCTTGGGCTACAGAGTGAGTTCTATAGCAAGTCTCCAGTCAGCTTACCTGGAGTGTAACCCTGACTCAAAAACTTAGAAGTACTGTCTGTAGGAGTGGATTACTGGATCATAAGATACATATATGTTTAACTTTATATGAAATTGCTAGTGCCTTCTAAAGTAACTATATCATTTTGCCTGCCCATCAACACTGCATAAAAGTAATAGTTGCAGGCTTGGGGAATGCTTAGTTGGTAAAATGTTTGCTGTGCAAACATGAAGACTTGAGTTTTATCACCAGTAAAGGGTCTACTGTCGCTTTAGTGGGTCTTAAACATGCCAGCTAGCTGAGGCTCGGATTAAAGACGCACAAATGTACTGATTCTAACATCAGGATAGTATAATGTACAGATGGGTACCCCCCACATGTATATGTATGTGTATATGTACGCACAATTTATTGACCGCCCAGGATGGTTATGACTTCAAACCTAAGTGTGTATGTGTGTTGAACTCCGTATTTCACATCTGCTTGGTATGTAGTTTGTTGTACTAGAGTGTACCTTTAGCTATTGTGGATTGAACACAAGACATTGCACATATTTGGTAGGTGTTCTACCACTGAACCATACCTCAACCCTGTTTGTCTGCTATCTATCTATCTATCTATCTATCTATCTATCTATCTATCTATCTA